GCTGGAAAAAATATATTAAAAAGTCTTATCCTCTTCTAGTATAACATAGTGTTACCAACTTGTTGGTTTGTAAGATTAGCATAAGTACTGGTTGATTGCTAGTTATTTTAGTACTATTATGTTAAGAAATGGGGCCTTCCCTGTTGCGATATTTTCGAATTAGTTTTTTTTATTATATTTTTATGTGTGATTTACTTATTATAAATTATATTCATGTCACCATCACTTTTTTTTAAAAAATCTTTTTACACAATATATTTTAAAACGAAAATTGTGAAATATTGAAGTAAATCCATATCTGCAATAAGCAACAATTAAATTGCTTTATAATTGTGACTACATAACGACTAATATTAAACAATTAATTTATCAATACGTATTGGCATTGTAGTAGAACACAAGCACATACTGAGAATTCTCTTAACACCTTTCTGAGTCAGAAGCAAGCACACAATATTAAGTATTCATACACACATGCGACAATACAAAAACGGGGAAGACAAATGTTTTGCTTCACCCAAAGTGTAAATCGATCCCAAAGGAAAAAACATCAATTAAAAATGATTTGGAATATGATTGAAGACAGCACACAGAACCAACCGACGACGTTGGCATTTCTGTGAAAAGGTGCTCTGTAGCCAATCTTCCGAAATAATTAGTTTAACTAAATTGCATGGCAGACAGTGTGGAATTTGAATAGATATGTGTGCAGCATAGCAACTTTAGTGTGGCAAACTGATTCGTATATTTGAGCTTGTTCTGCTGCCGCAACTTAAATACAAATTAATTAATTAATTAATGCCTTTTATGAGAGCAACGCTAAGATGGTTTGCGGTTGTTGATAATTACACGCCATGCTTAAATGTGCAAATAAATAGCAGGGGAATCCTCAATTACAGGAATTCTCTTCTCTTTAGTAAACAAATGAAATACCTCAACTGACAGGTCTGCTTAACTTAATCAAGCGATATAAGCGACTTGCGTGATAAAAAATTTAAAAAAAATTTCTTAGATAAGCTTAAATCATTAGAGTTGAAATTTACATGTGAATTACGTCGGAGTACCAGGACTTGCGTCTCTCCTTGTGTTTAAATAGGTCTGCATCGGGTGCACAACAAAAGCATGAAAAGTGCTCCTGTTGTCCATTACAATGTAACGACTTGGACACTTGATGACGTCTAACGACGTCAGAATTATTCTGTTGCATCTACGCGATATTAGGCACACACGATTTTTCCAGTAAGCAAATAAATTTGAATACGTTTAACGTACTTAAATCTAATCAATTTCACTCCGATATTTAGATTATTTTTTTCTTTTTATTTGAATAGATCGAATATCCACTATAGAACAGCGCGTTTCTTTATTATATGTTTGTTTCGTAAAGTGGCAAATACAACTGATTAAAGTGAGTAATCGTGTTATGATTCGAAGTAGAAAAAGTAAAGAAAATATATTTTCGCATAAAAAAATACAAAAGTATAACACCACACAAGGGTACGAGCTGAGCAAATGAAAACAGTGTATCGTGGTCGGTAAAGTAACATGTTTTCTTATGAGTAAAATAATAACTAAGCTATGTGCACGCACCCATAAAATAATATTCGTAATATCAACTTATTTTCTGAAGGCTGTAGATTGAGTAAGAAAATTTAAAAAAATATGTAAAAAAATTATAAATTCTGTTCAATTATATTTATAATCCTTAATATATTATAGATATTTGATTTATTTAAATGTAGTTTAAAAGTTTAAAAGTAAAGCTCTATAAACTTTTTAGCTTTATATGGTTTACAATAGTTATAAAGAAATGATAATCTAACTAATGATTTTTTTTGTTTATACCATATTTTATTAACTGATGACATATATACTATCTCTTATAATTTTTAGCTATAACAACTAATTTGTGGGTCAGAGCTTGATTTCCTGTTTTTTTATAATATATTATATATGTTTAATGGTCTTGATTTCAAATTTCGTCTAAATAGTTAGGAAGGAAGGTCACAGTTTTTCTAATATACACTGGTTTTGATTCTAGTTTTTGATTAAATTAGGGTCTTAATTACATCTATATATGTAGCTAGATAGGAGATGTAAAAGAAGGATCCTTAATTAGTTAAGAAATTTATTTCGATTCCACATTATTCACAATTGTAGTTTCTACCTTTTGCATATTAGATTCAGTGGGATGCATTGATAAATGAAAGTAACTGGACAATTCTCCTAAATAGTATCAGGTATCCTACATAGTATTAATTGTATTGTTAATTCCAGACATGTTTTCTGGTAATATGAATTCATACCTTCTTTAGTTCTAATGGAGAAACTAAATATCATAATGAACACGACTTAAATATTTTAGTGATTTAAGTTTTTAATTGACACTTCAGTAGAGATAGATTTTATCATTACACATCATTATTACTCATTTATCATTATTATATGATAGGGTTTTAAAAGTAGAATCTCGTTAAGTTAAATAAATTGTGAATATAGATATAGAATGTTTTTAACAAATTTGAAATCATGTTTGTTAATCAACAATTAAAAATCCGTGCTTTAAATTCAAATACAACTTCATATAGATGAAATCATTTTATTTCCATTAAGAAAGATATATATTTTTTAAAGTATTTTATGTTATTGTTTGAAATAGAAATAAATCTACTAAATGAAGTAAAGAGATATTTATAAGAGATATAGTACACAGTACATTATTGCCGATAATAAGGTAGTCAAAAGATGACAAGAATAGTGATAGAATTAAGGAAATGGTGGAATAAAATTGTTTTTACTATTGTTGTAATGTCAAAGTACATATAAGGATAACCATTTTATGCTTCCAAGAACGGTAAGGTTTACGTACCGGAGCCACTCGTCATCAACGACGACCAAGAACCGTTCAACACCTCCCAATGGGACTCCACAAGCAGGTTCCGGCAGTTTACAACAACAATAACATGAGCATTTTATTTTAAGTTGTATTTAACTAGCTAGATTGTTTATAATCAAATCTTAAAGCTAAACTTAAGACAGCTAACAATTTGAATAAAGAAAGAAAATAAAAGTTATGATAAAAGTAAGAGAAAAGTAATAGGAAAATGTAAACATCCAATTCTATTCGCTTAAATGAGACGGTCTTATTAGTTACATCAAGCTAATATAAGAGTTTAATCATTTTAATCTGAATCAAAAAGTAGTTATTCTGCTGTAGGATTATGTTGTCAATGTAATTTTATTCTATATTTTATACAGTAAGTGCCTATTAAAATATGTTCGTAAGGAAATCATTCTTATATATATTTTATATATATGATCTTAAGATACTCCATAATATTTTCTATAAGGCAGCGCTATATATTTTTAAGATATCAGGGTATACTTGGTAATTTATTTTAAACTCTGCATTTTTTCTGCATTTCTGTATGTTATAGGAGTTTACCTAAATATGTTTGTTAAAAAATGTTATATGGTTTTGAATCGTAAAGAAAATATCTGATAAAACTGTTTTAGTAAACGTTTTATTTTTATAGTCATAAAATATATAAATATTTGTTTTTTGCAGAAAAATAAATTTCTAATAACAACTTTAACAGATTCTGAAAAAATCTGTTTTTGTAATTGCATAAAATTGGAATTTTAATGAACTAATATGAAATGTTTTTCAGTTTTAAATATACAATATACACTATATTTCACTAATAAACGCATGATTAGCCTGCTATAGTAAATAGAATATTAATTATCTTGTAAAAGTTTAGTATAGAAAAATAATTAAATAAGAACAAGAACCAACTGCCTTTAATTTGTGTAGACAACAGAAAATTCCATTAAATTAGAAAATTTATTAAAAATTCCACTAATATTAGTTTTTGTTAATTAGTTCAAAAGCACATATCAATTTAAAATAATTAAAATATTTTTATTTTATAACTACAATATTTTAATTATTTTAAGAATGTATGGGTGATTGCATTTTTAAAATAAATATTTTGAAAATAATAGGTAGTAAAATTTTGCACGCGAAAATGCCTTATGCAATGTAACGCCCCACATTAGTTATGCTATGCACATGGAAATGTATAATAATATTATAGAATATAATTAATTTAAATATTTATTGTTTATTGTTTAAATAAATAATTCTAATAATGAAAATTTTTTCGAACGATATATTGACTTTTTTACTTGGGTGTATATTTGTTGAGTAATTTATTTATTAAAACACAAGTAAAAGTACACAAAAAAAAAAAATGGAAGTAGCAAATAACAAAATATGAAATAAAAAATAGTATATAAGCAAAAATGATAACAGGCACAGTTTCTCTTATACGTATAAGAATCAGTTTCTTACACTTAATATCTACAATCATAACATACACGAGTCATTGTTTTGAAGTGCACTGCAAAGCCAGATATTTGTGAATATGATATCTCAAGTCTACGGCGTAGACAAATATTATGACGACAATCTATACTAGAACGAACTAATGTATAAGAAAAATTTCTGTCGTAAATAAAGCAATGAAAATTTGAAAAGAAAACTGCTGGAACACATTAAATATTTGTGTGTTGCCCACTACTAATGATAGCGCATAAAATGCGTAATACACGGTCACTGACAGAACATAAATAAGATCTTAATTAAAAAGTTTAAGAACAACATGGCAAAAACATGGTAAAAAGTTATCTATTAAAAGTGAGTGAGTATATGCAATATGCAAAGATTAGATTAAGAAACTTATAACCGGCACAGGCACGGCACAATTGGATTTTGGCTCCCAATATTCATATATTCGCTTTGATAAAATGCAACTACTTAACTTGTCTATTGATAAAGCAATGACCGGTTGATTACGGCATAAGTTAATATAAAGAGAAATATATATATTAAAGACATTTATAAAAAAAATAACTACTTTTTGATACTACTTTCTTTAGTAGTGAATATTTAGAATATATATATAAATTTGAAAAAATAAACGTAACCCACTTACCCACTAAAACCACGTCGTTTGGTTGAAGATGTTAATGGATCTGGCTTGCCACGACTGTTACCTGTTATAAATATGAGCATTTATTAATTATATTACATAAATAATCTATTATATGTGCTTACTCTGCTCTTGTATAGTATCATTATTATCCTTGCGATTTGAATTCACTTTTTGTATACTTGGTGGTGGTTTGAGTATTGACACTGGTACAATGCCCTCTTGTACTGCTGCATCATCATTTTGTGGATTAAGACGTACCAAACAAAAATCTGGCTCTGCTGCTGTGGGTGGTTCTATAATTTCAACTTGTTGACCTTTTGTTACACTTAATTCATTAGAGCCTGGTGCGGCGATGTAATCAGAAACAACCCATGTAGCTTCTTGGGTGCCAACCTGAAAACCAAACAAATCAATTAATATTAATTAGCATTGATTAATTTATAATTTAATAAAAAAAATTTAAAACATTGATGGGGGAATAGTAGCATAATCAATCTCAGTTCGTTGTATTGTACTTAATTATGCAGAGAATCATTCAAGAGAAAGTGTTACTTATTGCATAAATTATCACGAATACGTACACGAGTATACGAGTATCTTCTTCATATTCAAAATCAATTTCAATATTGTTAATGTAATAGCGTGCAAGATTTTAATTTCTCATTTATTCACTATTCATGCACATATTACGTATCTGAAAGAATTAATTATTCATGAGTTCCCAACACATACTTCTTACATTCAAGCGATAATTGGCAAGGATATTTTTTTATGATACCATGAGTAGGTAGTAGGTAGTATCTGAGTAGCTGTAGCTATAGCTGTAGCTGTGCGACTTATTCAAAATACAAACTTTCTTCCACTCTATGTGCACGGATGTTCTACAACTTGTGCAAATACTCATGAAAGATTCTTTTATGAATTTGTGAATACGCAGAAACTGAACAAATTAACAACAAAAACATTTCGCAAGGATAATTAAACAAACTTTACTTTATACACTGTTAATTTGACAACTCATTGTTATTGTTGTTTATGTTGCTCTTGTTATTGTTGCAGATTTCACTTACTATGTCGGCACTACGAAAAGTACGGTAATGTATTTAGAAAATTTGGCATAAGCGTTATAAAACTTTTCTTAGATTTTCTTTTGCCTAATTAACGAGTGTCAGAGTTTTCACAATTTTATGTAATTTTCCTTTCTTCCCTAGAAATCACGTTTTCCTTTGCCGGTGTTTATTTGTAGAAAAATTCTGAGTTCTAAATTGGTTTACTTTTTGAGATAAATTAAAAAAAAAAACAAATTTCGCAGTTGTGAATTCGAAAGGAAATAAAAAAAAAAACAATTATTTTAAAAAATTGAAAGTTCGCAAATCTTAATTATTATAAATCTTTAAATGAGTGATTATGACTAATCTGTTAATTTAGAATTAAGTCAAGTGCAAGTAAACTTTAGTAGCGTAGCGTAATAAAATTTTAAGAAAATCCCAAAACATCATTTACTAAAATAATTATGTTATTCATTCTATATGTCACACCACACAAAATTGGTAGTAGTAAATTATATTCATATTAATTATGAATTGAACCCCTTCACTGCTTACATGTCAACAGTTAATGCTGTCTTATATGATTTGATAAATAATAAGCGAATGGATTCGATATATGTATTTTTAAAAAATATTAGTATCTACTAACATTACCACACAAATATTAAATTACCCTAAAAATGTTCCAATGGGAAACAAAATTTGACAGATCAAGAGTTAATATATATTGAATCTAGATTTACTAATCGAAAAGTAAAATAAACTTAAGTTATGTTATGTTAAGCCTTTTCCGAGTTAGTGCATCTGGGCACTTTTACTCTATGATAGCTGGGGGGATTCTGCAGAGTCCCGCGTAATCATTGTGATTATTCAATAATTGATCTAAGATCTGCGTACCGATTCGTGCGGTTAGTGATTACTCTGAGATTAGATAGTGCTAAGTAGGGCAGCCTGTTGGTTTTCGCATATAGCTTCAGAGCTCTGTCCCTTATGTATTTTTTAACATGATCTATTCTAAGGTCTCTTAGCATGTCATTCGTTCGGATGCACCATGGTATTTTGAAGAGTCCATAAACTTAAGTCAAAGTATTAACTAAAAGCAGCAAAAACGCGAAAAACAGTTTCACAGTTAAAAGGAAAAAAGTGAAAATAATTAGAATTTAAAGAAACACCAAAAACATAGCAAAAAATAATATGTAATTTTGTAAAATTTTTTGTATATAAAAGTTTTATAAAAATTTAAATATTAAAAAATAAACAAGCTGAGAAATTAATGATATAGGGTGTCTATATAAAGCAGAACACATATTAGAAAAATTTAATACAATCGTTATCTACTACTTGTAGTTGAAGTTAGGTTGGTTCCCTTGTTCTTAGATTGATTCGTCATATTCCGTATACGGTGGAAATACGACGGAAATTGTGAACACGTAGTTGTTGATAAGTGTGCAACCAGGTTGGAGACTTTGCCCTCTACTACTAAAGACATCTGAAGGAAAATAAGCACATACTACATACAAACTGTTTCATATGTCATGTTCATAAATAAGGGAATTGATTAGTTGGTTCAAGAAACCAATATTACAAAGTGTATTTGTAATTAATATCTACTAAAACATATAGTGTTCAAGACGTGTATATATATGAGAAATCAAAACTGAATCGAGTTCTTATTCAAAAAAAACAAAACAAAATATGTATATAATATGTATAATATAATTTTAAGTATGTATTATCTACAGTTGGAATAATTTTTGAATCCTATTCTAAACAAACAAATGTATTACAGATATATTTTTCAATATGTATTCAATACAGCTTTCACTCTGTTCAACAGTTGTCGAATTAAGGAAATTTGTACACAGCTTAACTCGGCATTAAAAATAACCGGAGGGACTCTGATATACACCTCTCTAGAGTGGCGACTGCCAATGTTAGCTGAAAGTTAAATGCTATCTATATAAGATAGTTTCCAATATTAAGTAATTGGGTTCTTCTAGCAGCAAACACTACTTCGTGAATTCAGCAAAGTCACTATCAATATAAACATCTCGTCGAATGCGGACTCATAGAACTTAACACGTTTAAGATTCGAAGACTCTTTATGCCCTAGTAAAAAATGTATGAGCACATTAACTGGTTCAACTTTGGAAGCTCCAGTTCACTAAATTCTCATCTAATCAATCTGAGTTTGCCATGAAATGGTGAAATTTAAATAGGCTGGATACATTAACAGTAAAAAACAAAATAGAGCCTAAAAAGTGATTCAATTGTCAGGTGAAGTACACTGTCGTCCACATTATTGATTTCTCTCTCAATGATTCTTTATGAAAATACTTCTGATCCCAGTATAAATTTCCTGTATTCATAACTATTTGTTTCTTATCAATAAACAAAGTAACAAAAGTCCACTAAATTGAATTCCAGGAGATAAAACGGAGTGAATGTAAAATTAATGCATCTACAAAAATTCAATTTAAGATCCATAGTAGTTTACAATAATTTTATTGCAATTTCATTCTCTCAAGTGCATTTAGTTTACATAAGGTAATTTGACTTTTAGTTCAGATTGCTACCAACACATTATCTGATTATTTTTTTCGACACCTTCACATTGCACATAGTAAAGTGTTCGGTAATGTTTATAAAATCAAATTTACTCTGCTATAATGGAATCGAATTGAAAAAAAAATAAACGAACAGAAGCACCGGAAATTGTACTATGCAGCAGGTGAAAACTGCAGCACCTGCCGTACTGTATTGTTAAGATACTTTTTTTGTAATTTATTCGAACACGTGCGAATAAATAAAAATCTTGCACGTTGTTTACTGTCAATATAATCAAAACGGTAGTAAGAGTAAATATTTTAAACATGTTTTTATTTTTTGGTTTCTTGCTAAAAATATATATATATATATATATATAATTGAAAAATAAAGTGAAATTTTAAACGAATTTTATTTTGTATTGCCATCTAGAAGAATTCAGATGATGCAGATAAGAGGTTTATATGTTGCCAATATTGTGTGAATAAAATTCTATGGAAAAGATATGCATTAAAATATGCAATGAATGCAGGATTCGAAAGCAGGATTGTTTAGTATCAAAATGATGTGAAACTACTCTATTTTGCTTAATGTAGAAATAAATATGATGAAATTCTTAGTATTGTACTTGGGGTTATTTTTAAAAGAAGAACATTTATGCTTAGTTTTATTAAATAAAATTTAGAAAATAGAATTCGTATTTGATGCATTGAAAAAAAAAATGCAAGTGACAGATGGGTCTAGTTGGCAACTCATTACACCCTACCGTTGTATTGTGATACCACTACTTAATATAGGATATGTACTGATTTTATTTATGAAAGTATTTCGACGTTCTTATAAAGTGCGGAATCTTTGTGACAACACCGCTTAACACAAAACTTTTACTATTTTCAATTATGAAACGTGTCCAGTGTTTTCAATCTTACCACTGGACACCAATATATTTAAAAAGTTGGTCCTCCTTTGGCTAGAGCTGTACATTTCAATTTTTCATTGCATTTTGTTTTCATCTTCATCTCAATAAATTTTATAATATTCTTAAAAAGAAACATTCAGCCTAAGAGCGCGATTACCAAATTACCAGTGTGTGGTTGTACAAGCTCTTTCTTTCTTGATAGGTCTACTGTTTTTTTTTAACGCAGTATCTCCATTAGTCCAATATCCATTGGCCTCTTGACCGACACTATTTTTCAACAATCACTTACAAGTGGTACTAGATATTCGCCTCTTAGGTATCTTAGAGAGAGTTTAATACCCATTTTGACTAATTGATCGGATCTACAGTTTTGCTTAATATTATTGTGTCACTGATCTTATATTAGGTGTATTCAGAAAACATAGAACGACATTATCGTTCTAATGTACCTAAATCTTTTAACATATTAATATTTTATACAGCGCTTATATAGTTCTTTAATAGAGTTTGATAAAAATATTTTAGTTTTTTTATTGTTTAGTAGTTTCATAGATATTTGGACGCTTGCATACATTGATAAAGAATATAGGATTCTGCATTTAGCATCGATTAGAAGCAACACTTAGAGCAATAAAAGATGCTGTTATCAATAATATAAACAGAAAAACATCATTTTTGAATTTTAAAGATACCACGATTTGAGATTCTTTTGTATTATATTTCTTATATTTGTATCAATTTATTAAATATATATATATCCACAATTATATATACAATCAAACTTCCATAACTCGAAGTACCATTTTGTAAAGAAAAGGTGCGATTTATGCAAACTTCGAGTTAAAGAATTTTTTTTGTAATTGTACATATATTTGCTC